TCCGCCTCTGATGCCCTATAACAAAAAGAACTAAAATGCAACATGATGACTATTAATTAAAGCAAATCTAGTTAAGAAAACAATTTTTTGGGGGGAAGACAATAAGTGATAACTTACACACTCAACCCTGTATGTTAACATTTTGAGCATGCTTTTCTCCAACTCTTTCATTTCAGCAGCCCTACTCTCTGAATCTTCTGCTTCAGCTTCTAAGAAGGATTTGAACCTCTCCACACTCTGGTAGAAGGAAAGAAACATTGTTACATCACAATGATATTAATCTTAAGGCTACAGTCACACTAGAATCTCAAGCCTGGATTGACTCATTAGGCATGTTTATACCCCCATGTTGTGTGATAAAGTTATCTTAACTTTAGCATCATGATAATTTTAGCATGTTAGAGAAAACTGTTCATATAGAAACCATCATCATTATCTATTTATGCTAATGTATGCAGTGTTGCATGAAAACTACCAGAAGCACAACCAATGTGGTTGGGATCTACCAGAAGCACAACCAATGAGGTTGGGACCTACCAGAAGCACAACCAATGAGGTTGGGACCTACCAAAAGCACAACCAATGAGATTGGGACCTGTTTAATAAACTGAAGGCTGATTGGTGGAATTTGATCTCATGAATTAATTTATCACGTTAACCAAGGTTAATCATGATGCATCAACATGCTCCACTAGATTACAATAAGGTGATTAAGTTGAGCACGTTATTTGATTCTGGTAGGTTCACATGATCCCCTGGATCATGATAAACTCTGAATGTGAACCAAGCTACTATGGTTAAGGTCTCATGCCTGGCAGCGCTGTTCCATCTCAGCAGCAAACAACAAATTAGTAATGGTGATTTGGAGGACAACCATTAATATCATCATCATCATCAACATCATGGCAATGATATTATAAAAATGTAGTATATTCATTATATCATTCTTAAGAGTAAGAATAAAGATGTCAGAATACAAAAGTACTAATATACCTGCATTGCCCAATTGAGGGACGTATCTGCCAGCAAGGGACTATCACTATCTGTTAAAATATCAAATATCCTGCATAAAAATAATCTTTGCCACTATTGATAATGTATTTTGAAAATGAGAGTAATTTATTAAAAACTTTGTTACTGATGAAATATTCAAGATAACATTCACTACAGCATATACCGTAGAGCATGAATTCTTGATATTATTACATATTCGTTATAAATACAGAAGTTCATAGATAAGAGTTAGAATGACTTCACAAACCTAGCCATGCTCTGGATGTTTTGATAGCCATCTAGAGAAAAAAAAATAGAATAAGTTACAATGCGAATTATCAAAATCACAATGATTATATTAGATTATATCAATCAATCATAGAAGGGAATACATTTATTAATACATACATACATATATATATATACTGATATTATATTCTACTTAAACATAGTAAGCCTACCATGATTTGTCTTTTCAGCAGTACAGGGTTGTTCTGTGTTGGTCCATTATCATGGAATACCAGCAGGCAAGCACAATGTCTTACTGCAACAAGAGCAAATTAATTTGTCAATTCCGTATTTCTAGAGAGCTTGAATTCAAGAAGTTAAAATTAGAGTAGTAGAGAGTAGGGAGGTATGCCAGCTAAATTACATTAGTACAGTAACTGTTATTGGTTATTATTGTTTATTAGCTCTATAGTAAATCCAATTAAAAAGGTTGTAACATCTCTTTTCATGCTTAACACTTACATTTTGCATTTGCATTTTTCTCCAGATTTTTACCAGTTTTTCTTGTGACAGCAGTATTCCAAAGAGTGATTGCAAAACTTTGTAGCTTGGTGTTAAAAAAAGAACAAATCAAATCAATTCTCAAAAATTTAAAATTGTAACATTATTTTATATATTTACAAGATTTATTCTTAGGTAATAATTGCAAATCACGACTATGAGTATATAGTCAAACTGTGTCTATTTTGCAGATAAGATCCTATAGTTACTTCTAAATCTTATGTTGTACCTTGTACTATAGTACTTTCTTTTTTTACTATTAACAATGGTACATCACATCCAACAAAGGATGTTCATGATCAGGGTGTTTACATTTTAATGAGCAAACAAGGCTAAATATTAACTCATTGTGAATCAGTTTGTGAAAGCTATGGACTGCTATTTCTGAAACCTATAATCTGTTTGAATCTTATGTTACAGGCCTGTAGCTTGCGGGGGGGAGGGTGGTTAAGGGGGTTGTGACGAACCGCTCAAAAACTGGAGAAGGTCCGCATTTAAAATCGAAAATTGATATTCGTAGATATATTTACTTTATTTTTTTTTTTACAATGTTCTCCAGAATATCGGAGATCGTACAAGCCAAAGGGTCCACTTTCAAGTAAAACAAAGCTCCCACAAATTAAGTCACGCTACGGACCTGTGTTACATTACAAGGGAAATTTCTTTACATATGAATACAGGTGATCATATACAGTATATTCAAATTTTGATTTATGTTCTTTATGATGTTATATACAGTAGATGTTTTGATTATATAATGTTACAAAATAATTATAACAAGATTTGATAATAAGAAACATTTGTGTTCATATGACTGCTCTGTCTATTCTACCTCATCTGTTACTCTGGTGTCAGAAGTCTTTGTGATTTTCTGTGAGAGATCATCAACATAACCACAAAGTTTCTCTAGTGCACTGCAAGAGCCAAGATCTGATGGGTCGTTCTTCACCTCTTCAATTAAAGCTGAAGGAGAACCACACATGATTATAAAAAGTATGGCTCCAATAATATAATCAGAATTAGTGATAAATATTATAATGATATCATACAATACAATACAATATCTTAAATGTTCGTTTGACTGGAGGACTATTTTAACCACAGTGTCGCATCCAGAAATTTGAAATAGAGGGGGCCCCGAGAGGGACTTTCACAAATGGAGGGTCTATACTCAGCCACAACATGGTTGGGGCTGAGGTAAGAAAGTTTATGATTATAGCACCTCTAGATGGCCGGAAATGGCACTCCTAGACTCAAAATTTTAGTCAAATTTTCTTTTCTAAATTTGTTTTAAAATTTTGACAATTTAGGGGGGGGGGGGTCCCAGGCCAGCTGGTCCCCCCTTGAACCCTCCTATGAACCATGCTTACCTTCAAGACTTGGAGGAGATTGCATTGCACTTCTTGTTAAAAGACTGAAATATAAAATTTGTAATAATAACAAATTAGGATATAATATAATAATTAATCACAAGATAAGGTATACATACAACTCAAAGTTGTACAAAAATTACAAGAATTCATATATGTTATCCAGGCTATTATTATTATTATTTATTTTATTTATTTATTTTTTTGTCGCATCATTTATTTTAACTGCATAAAAACAACTTTGCAAAAAACAAATGCTCACAAAATATAAAGGAATTAGCTCCGACTTTCGGCAGACTTCAAACTCTTCCAATTGATTAGATCAGACATTTGAATCGCCGTAAAGTTAAAAAAGCAAAGCCCACTCTTTAAACTTGTTTTACTGTTGCTAAAAATAAACAGCTCACTACTGCGGTTAAAAATAGACAACACTGCGGTCCGTCCCTATAGAGACCCGCCCAGTGGGCTGATCGGATCAAAATAGGCAACACCACAGTCTGTATTTAAAAGCTGATCGGATCGTTGATTCACAGCATGAAGACTCACATGTTCTGCAGAGAATCTCTCTGGTATAAATAACTCGTTACATATAAGTGGGCGGTCTTCCTTGTGATGGGTGTGTGGTTGGATTGGTTGTTGTTGTTGGGCAAAAACTTACCTATGACATCAAGAAAAAAAGCCACCTATACCTACTGATAAAATTTTGGTGTTCCCTTCCCTTTTTGATGCTCGAGATAATGTCTGGTTTTGGATAGTTCAAATTGAATCACAGGGCAGTCGTTTAAATGCATCTGCCACTTAAAAAAATGATGTCATGTTCGTTCTGTTCATGCACACGGGCATCCCGAGTATAATTCCACCCCCTGCCCGCAAAAGAAAGAAAAAAAAAAATCCTCCCGCCCGCATCATTTTTTTTTTTTATAGAGGTTAAATCTAATAATTTTTTCTATGTGCCCTTACGGTAGCTTGATGCCCATCAAATAACTAATAAAAATTCACAAAAATTGGTCAAATATCAGTAGCTTTCTGGTGGCCCCCTGGCCAAGTGAAGCTCGCTTCACTCGGCTGGTCCCCCCTCCCCGTCAGGCCTTATAGCCCCACCCCCTGTTGGTTACAGGCCTAGTATACCTAGGATTAGTAGTACTAGCACTGCCTTTTTGATACCTCGAAAACCCCATCGGTATGTCTAGAGGCTAGGGCGTGGGCAGGCCCTAGGTACGGCTAGCCTAGCCCTACCTAGGTAGGCCTACTCAAATTTGCGCAGAAAATTGCTAGGAAAATAGGTCCGCAGAATCGTTATATATTACGATGTCAAAGCCTAATTTTCGGCAAAATCTGTAATCGGCCTTTATTTCCTGAAATGCACGGATGGGTTTCTAGGCCTAGCCTAGACCAAATTTTTGCGCGGAGGATATTTCCCGCGCAGGCCTTACATTACAGTCTTGAGGCCCTACCTATCTGGCTGGCCCAGGCCTGGGCATAGCCCAGTCACATAGCTAGGTATGTTTGTAGAAACAAGTCACTCCATTAGAAATACTTTAAACATGCAATTCTCAAATATACATTAGGCCTAGTCCTACCAAATAGGCTCGTTTGGTGGTAATTAACGTGTACTGATTAACCACTGCCACTCTGAAAGCCAACTTTTAGGCGAAATCGAGTACACAATGTACAAGAAAACTTTTACTCTTTTAGAGGGCGCTATATAGAAAATACGAAAAAAAGGTTTTCACGCACAGCGCAGCTTCAGCCGAGATACCGTAAAACCTCAAATAGAAGCCCAATAATTGGCTTTAAGCTCGAGAAACCCATCTCGAATTGAATCCCCCCTCTTTAATTTGCAAAAGTACTCTCGAAAAGAAGCTCATCTCAAAAAGAAGCCCACGGCACCAAAGTTAATTGGCAAGAAAAAAAAGAAGCCCATGGATAATTCAACTTTAATTTATTTAACTTGGTTCAAACATACAATTCAAAAGTTTTGTAACTATTATGGGGAAAACCAAGTAGCGAGACCAACAGAAAGTGAATAAACTTTGTAAACGTTGGTCCCGCGGAGAAGAACCCTCAACAACACTCACTTAACTACAATTACCATAAAATCATCATAAACAAAAGCATCTAAGTGAACTGTAGAAAATAATTTTTACAGGAGACCTTAAATGAATAAGAAGAACTACAGCTAGTAACTGAATCTGGCAATCCGTTCCACATTTTTATTCGAGATTTTACGGTAGATTATTAATATTCAATAGCAACAAACCTCTAACAATATTAAATTAAGCAATATAAACAAGCATAGGCCTATCAACCAACCAGAATGACGGAGCAATTTTATTGTGGCAAATAGTGCCGGCAAAATCGGCTTCTGGAAGCAATAAATTATATTATAAATATGCAATATAGGCCGAATACATTTTTTTTCATTTCATTTATTTTTCCAGGCAATATAAAATACAGTTTAACAAAACACAAGCCTGAGGATAACCTGAAGTAAACTGAAACATACATAAAAATATAACAAGCAACAATAGAAATATGATAAATACAGAATAACTTTGTAATTATTAAATGCAGTCAACACTATTTATATGTAATATTACAATAAAAGGGAAGCCAATATAGATTTTAACTTATGACAGCAAAAATAAATAAATAAATTATTCATAATAAATAAATGGTTACGAAGAAGATACTTAAAATTATGATTATTAATTAGATGGTCACTGACAGAAGGTGGTAAGTTTTTCCAAATGGACGGGATATAACTAAAACATGAATATTTATGACAATCGATTCTGACGTACGGTACCCTATAAAAGTTTAAATCTGTGTCATATAATATTGAAGTTGAGGATCAATACGGAATTAACATTAAATTGATTGTGTATATGATCAAATAAATGATAAGATAATATAATATTTCAACCGAGTGGCAATACAAGTAGTGTTCAGAGCCCAAACAGCCTCGAGTAAAGCGTCTCTGAACCTTTCCAATTATGGTAAAATGCAGACACCATATTCAAGAACAGGCCTACATAAAGCATTAAATAAGAGCGAAAGGGTTAGAGCAACGAACTGTACGTCTAATAAATCATAAAACCTAAATATTTAAACTTATGCACAACATCAAAAGGTTCATTATTAATATAATATGAGAACTGTTTGGTGCTCCATTTTGATATATTATCAATATCAGACAGGAAAGCATAAACGTGGACTTCCGAGTACATGGGCTTATTGGGCAATTATTGAAGAAGAAATACAATCAGGTAAGTCATTGGTAAAAAGATTAAATAATGTAGAGTAAAACTATTTATTTAAGTGTTTCCTATATTAATTTACTAAGATAAAAGTCCCTTAAAACCGCTCACAGATCAAATAATAAACTGTTGCTTTACTTGTTCGAATCCCCTGCCGATTTAACAGTAGGACTACAATATAATTCGTCTGCTACTAATCAAAATCAAAAATCAAATTGGTATTGCTTCCTCAATTTTCTTGACTTGATAGCATGATTTTGTTGACAACGGCATTAGGAACATCCATGGTGCTATCTTCCACAACAACTATATCAAACTTGCTTTTGTAAACTTCAAGGTTTTGATCCTGAAATGAAATCAATTATTTTCTCATAAATCCTAGCTAATTAGACAAAACGTTATTATAACATCGTCGTATATGTATTCTTATGTGCAGTGGCGTATCTAGGGGAGGGTGCACGCCCTCCCCAAAAATTACCCCACCCCACCACATCACCATATTTTGCGAATTAGCGGCCCCTCAACAATGAGTCCCCCCCCCCCCATTTCAAGACCTCTAGTTACGCCACTGCTTATGTGATTTTGTATTTGATAATAAAAAAGGACTTACAACATGACTGTTCAAGAAGCCAATTTTGAGGACATATTCTGGTTGTATTAAACCTTCAGCCAACTGCAGGTCACCGATGGAGTCACCAATTAGGAGAACGTTGGGACGGTCCATGTGTTGTTCAAAATAATCCCGGTAGATATTAGTCATCTCTCTCTTGTTATACTGGTTAATTACTGTTCCTTTACAACTTAGGCCTACAATTTTTCCCTGGAGGTTAAAAATTGTTTATATATAATATATGCTTATATATTAACTTTTGCGACCGTTTTTTAACGAATTTATGTTGGCATCTGTTTACAATGAAGGCGGCAATAGAGGATGCACTTTATTCCGATCAGAACGATTGAATATAGACAATAATTAACGAAGTTTCCACACGCTCGTTTAAATAGTATATATATATATATATATATATATATATATATATATATGTATATGTATATAATATGTAAGTATATATATATATGTATATATATATATATATATATATAAAATATAGAAAGACAGCAATAAAAAACAGCTATGAGTTGTAAACATACTAGAAGCAATATAATTTATTAATTCACAAATATTTCAAACACTCCTGTGTTCATCCTCAGTGTGAGGACAACTGTTGTTTAATAAAGTTTTATGTTCCAATTTTAATCTAACACCTACGTACGACCAAAGAGGTATGAAGATTAACATTTGCGACCACTGGTTAACGAAATTATGTTGGCATTTTTTAACGATGAAGGCGGCAATAGAGGATGCGCTTTATTCTGATCAGAAGGATTAAGTATGGACAATAATTAACGAAGTTTCCACAGGCTCGTTTAAATTGTATTTTATTTTTTCCACATATAATTTGAATCACTAAGTTACTTACGTATTTAGACATGAATTACACTTGGACATCCAGTCCAAGCATCACAATAAATATTAAATTATAGGCAATATTACATGCGTATTTGTCGTTTGCGAGCGTGAAACAGATTCTGAATGCGTAATAATAATAATAATAATAATAATAATAATAATAATAATAATAATAATAATAATATTAATAATAATAATAATAATAATAATAACAATAATAATAACGATTTTTAAAGCGCAAACATCACCACCAAAAATATCACGCCGAATGCGAGAGACTTGATAGGTCGGAAAAATAGCAGACACAAAGCCTATAAGAACCCTGGAACAGCACCACCTTAAAAAACTTACATTTGCATCAAAGTCCATTTTGTTGCCCATAAATGATATATTGTCATACAGAGTAGCTCGATCTTTAATCACTGCACTCGAAATGTCTTCAATGCCGGCTGTACACACAACCAATGGTACACTGTTGTCCGCTAGATTTTTAAATAACATGTCGCAGCCTTCCCTATGAGAAAATAGCACAAATGAAATTATTATACAGAATATAACTGAAATGACAGGCCGTTTTGTGTGAATCACACGTACCAAGTGTATAGCTTAATCCTCCAAGTCCAGAGACCTGTTTCCAGTGAGGTGGTCCTTTTGGTGGTGAGGTTAGCAGTACTTCGGGAGATATTTCCCTTTTTATGAAAATTGTACTTCCCTCCACGGAGAACATGTTATAACTGATAGCAGCTGAGGGTAAAGCCGGACATTTAAAGACTCCAAAAGTACGGGTATATAGCATGAAATAAGATCGAATGAGAAAAGGCCCACCACCACACTTTAAGACACCGCAGTTTGTTTTTGTTAATTAATTGATATTAATTATATTTGTTATATCATTTTAGCCAAACGTATTTGTGTTTTTGTATTGAAACCATTTCAACCAACGATTGTTATGTAATGTAGTTTTTCTTTTTAAATAGAGCCGTTTGCGTTCAACCACCTTAACTTAGTATGTCTTGTTTTACTAAATGTTTGCATATGTCTATTTGATCTGATACCACCAAGACCTACCTAAGCACAACATCGGATTGTTCGACAATTTTAGATATATCCTCCTTGCGCATTCCAGTTTTGGTAATCATATCATGTTCCTTTGACCACCTTTAAACAATTAACAAATACACAATTAACTCTAAATGTGAAATAAAAATATATTCAAAGACAAAATGAAGAGACAAAACAAACGAATAAATAACAATAAAAGTGCTCAAATAGGAACAAGATGTTATATCAAACCAAGCTTCAATGAAAATTTCTTTTTTAATTCAGTTGTATGAAAAAACGCCTATATGACGGGATTAGAACCTGCAACCTCTCAGTGTCTGGGCGAGTGTCATATCCATTATACCACAGAGACCTAAAGGATATGCGCGCAGATAAACCCCAGGCACTTTCATACAACTGACTGAAACACTCACACATAGTGGAGCTATGGATAAGCTAGACAATCTTAGGTTGAAAATCATTAGTAAATAATATTCAAATAAGGTATGCCGCATAGCAACGTAAACACAATATTAACAAATGGATAATTAATAATAATAATACTATTAATACGAATAATAATTGATACGATTTTTTATATTTTTTTAATTCAGTATAAATACTTAGAAACACCAAAAATGCTGATAAATTCCAAGTTTACACTTAGTCTAAACAATTAAAATATTCAAAATACAAATATACATACATATATATATATATATTTGTATTTTGTATATATATATATATATATATATATATATATATATATCTTGTTTCCGTTTGAGCACTGTTAATAACAATTTTCCATTGAATTTTAAACTTATCTAACTTAGATAAAATAGGCCTATGAATTATTATTTTTGAGCCTATTATGTTAAAGAAATAATGTATTAAATTATGTAATTTTGGTTTTCCATTTACAAGTTATGCCTCAGGAATTTCCCATTCTTCAAATATGAATTTATGTACATTTTCGTTAAATGTTTATGCTCGAAGGAAATAAATATTTTGTCACATATATATATAATATATATATAGGCCTATATACACTAAATCTAATATCTTTTAAGTAGCATAGCCATGCACAATTTAAAATACCACAAATATCACGAGGAAATGTGGAAAAATAAGAGATTAATACAAATAAGTTAGAGTAACAAAATATAGAGCAATGAAAAGCGATAAATATATTTACATAAATTAAAACAGCTCAGTTATTGATCACCTTACTTACCACTCTGTCATTGATACGAATTTTTCCTCGTCTGGCAACGTAGTTGACATGCACTTGGGGTAATAATGCCGGAAAAAATCTCGGCACATTTCTTTGCTTTCTTTCGACATTACGTAGCTGTTTTCCACAATATCTGATGATGACCATACAAACATGATATCTTATAATCACATAATTCTGTACAGCGGGCATGCCGAACTGCTTTGCAACAAAGAAAAAGAGGGAAGCGTACAGGTATTCAGAAATTACTCTCTTTTATCAAAATTCAATTCAATAGTAAATTTCTATCAATTAAAAATTAGAAAAGAAAATATTCTCAGCCAATTACTAGATAGGTACTGTACCGTTCCTAATTCTTCATAGAGACCTTTAAATTGACTTGTTGAAAGTTCAAAGATTTTTGTATTTTCTCTGATCTCTGACTTATTGGTTGTATAGATCTTTAAGCATATCCGTACCGTACGCCCACATCATGTACGGTCTAAATAGGCCTAACATTATTTAAACCGGAATAACGATTATTATTCTAGCTTTTATATGTTCTTTCCTACCAGGGGTACGCCAGGATCTGTTCTCTTATACACATCT